CTTTTCCTTAGCTTTGATTATATATCTCACAATTTTGTAATTTATCATTGTTTATTAAACTCTGAAAACTGCATGGCTTTGTTAATATTCTGTCCTAAAATGCGGTTAGATCCATCCATCTTCTTTACACCCTTGTCCCTCAATACTCAAGCCTTCATCTTATTATAAATGCTTTTTTCTTTTTTAGCTGCTTTGGACACTTCTACCGCTGCCATTGCTAAAACTACGGCAGACTACAATTCTAAAACACCAATGTACATAATCTTTCACAACTTCTCCTTCTGTTCCCTGATTGGTCCGATTGAAAATATACTGAAAAAACAATCCACTTCAATGGAAGAAACCCCAGACAGATTGGAAATGAGTTGAGTTGTAGGAATGTAAGGTAAAAGTCAGGCTAGCTTTTGCTAGTCATGAAAACTAGCTGTCTCCAAGAGCAAAAAGCATTAAATTATAGCCTCTGAAATGTTTCTCCTAAGTAATACTGTTACTTACATCTAACCTGGTCTTGTGGGAAATATCTATTTGGATGTATAGGTGGCAAGAGGAAGATGGGGGAAATATATGGTCTTGCCTGGGAACCCAATCATGTAACAACCGCCACTGACTTTACAGTTATATCTGGACCTTTATTTCTGTATTCTCCAATCAAACCTATTAATCTGTTTTTTCACTCTAGGGATGACTTTATTATTTAACACTCTTATTTCAGAAAATACTCTAATGCATCATAACTCATGTCAAGTTGTCGCAATTTGTCTTTGTTTTTATTTTTATTTATTTATTTTACAAGCGCAGCTTACTTTTTACATTCTGTGACAATAGCGGATAACGCTTGTGCAACTGAACGTCGGCGGTAGATGCAGGTCACATGGTCTGTATGCATGCAAATGGCAGGCGGGAGTAGACATAGGACCGTGGTAGGAGGGGGGAAGAGTACGAGGAGGACGGGGGAGGGAGGCAGACAGAAACTCGGGGAGCTCCTCCACACAACGGGGAGCGCTGGTTGTGGCTGTCGGAGGGAAGCTCGTCCAGCTCGGAGCATCCCCCTCCGTCTCCCGGTCGCGGTTTCATGTGTCAGAGCGGCGTTTGATTGCCGTCGCCACCTGGGCATTATTTATAACCGACGTAAAAAAAAAAAAAATCGGATGGGACGTACCGCCGAGCCGAGCAGAGACACTCCCGGAAATAACATGCGTACTCTCAGCCTGTCACGTAGGCTCGCTGAGGATTTGCATTGCTGTATGGCTGCCGTAGGTAGGTAAGTGTACGGTTTTCTCTGCCAGCGAGAGATTTCACATGCTTTTTTTCCACGTTATTACCTCTTTGTTTAAAAATTTAAAATGCACTTCTTTAATAAAACCCACCCTTATTTTTTAAATATTCATTTAATATTCTGTGAAATTTATTACAATCATGTATGGAGCTGTTAAGTTGGTGATTAAAACCAGACAAAGACGAAATAAATTATTTTTACGGTTGCGTCATCGAAAATCGTTTTAAATTTTATTCGTAAACGCTTACTTTTTGAGAACAACAATAGTGCCGGTTGTTTTTATTCTGATGCTGTATAATCAAAGTAGAATAGTTATTTTTTCTGTGTGCCTTTAGTCATATTTTTTATGATTAATATTCAAAATAAGACTTATACAGGGTACGACCGTGTAGGTTTTTAATGGTAATGCACCACTACCACGCTTGGTATTTTGTTTTTAAACTCTTCAGATAAAATCAAAAGATATCCAAGAATACAGGCCTTTTTGTGTCACCAGTAAAGGCTCTAGGTTTCCCACCATGGCTCACTGTCAGAGCCCAATCAAGAATGTTTGGGGTCCTATTGAGACCACACCCACCAGCCACCATTCCTAACCCCATACAAGTTATTTTTCTCTCGTCCTCTGCTCTCCACTTGTCCCCTCAAATCTTTCCTGTATTCCATTCAAAAATGCCTCCTTGTTTCAAAGCACAAAATTGTTTCTTGCACTTTTTAATGGTGAAAATATTACATTTTACGTTATGGAACAAAGGAATAAGGGGGATATTACAAGCCAGCTAACTTACTTTTACAGTAACACCAACACATGTAGAACATTCTCCTAAGATTGTTTTTTTAAGTTTTATTGCAGTATTTGAAACATTTCTGTTATTTTGTTGTATTTCTGATTTTTGGTATTGTTAAAAAGTTAATTTATTTCTTTTGCATGAAAATCTATTTTGACGTACAACTGTAATAATTTTCTTATTTACCTTCCTATGCAAGTGATGGTTTAAATAAATTACTAACAAATATTTGAAAAACCTAAATAAACCAATTTAAGTAAAATGATTGCAGTTGTTACATTTTGCAAATGATGCATTACAATTAATAACAAG